TGGAGTTAGCCCTATTCTGTGTGTGTCACCCACACTCAAAACTGTGGATAAGGTTTTCTTACATAAAGATAAAGTTGGGATCACTGGAATGCCAGCCCGAGAATCCACACGGGGGGGGGGGGGGGAAATAAGTAAGGGCAACCACGGAAAGGAGAGAGGAAGAGGAGAGAAAAGAAGAAAGTGTAAAGCAGAGGAAGTAAGGGAGGGGAAGTAAGAGTAGGAGAGAGGGTAAGGAGGAGGAGAAGAGAGGAGGAGTGGGGGAAAGGGAATGGAAGAAGGAAAGAGAAAGGAGAGGAGGAAAGGAGAAAGTAGAGAAGAGAGGTTGAGAAGGCGGAAGGAGTAGGGTTGTTGCAAAACAAGATGGAGATACAGGATGGCAAGAAAGTGACCCCAACAGTGTTTTATTTGTAAGATTGTGATAAATGTCGATACTTAATAGATAGATGTTAACAGTATTTACAAGAATGTATATTTGTGAATGTGTATGAAAGGAAAAAATAAAACTTTATGCAAAAAAAAAACCCTGTGGACAAGGTGATTACAGTTCAGACGTTACCATAATCCATGATTTGGTTGATTTACTTCAAACATAGATGCTATTACTCTCATTTTGAGTTTCAGCAACAACAAAAACTGGGATGCACCTAAAACAGCAACTTACAGCCATTCATTTGACAACTGTTCAACCACACTGAATAAACTACACACTTCAGTGTGAGACCAGATCTCACACTTGAAGCCATCACAGCATCCCCAGGGTCACCTGATCACTTAGCAACTGACTTGTGCAGAGGGTCCTTAACTTACAACTGTTCATTTACCGTGTTTCCCAGGAAATAAGACTGGGTCTTATTTTCTTTTGACCCCCGAAAAAAGCATGTGGTCTTATTTTTGGGGAGATCTTATTATTTTTGAGGTGCAGGTCACCTGCATCTGCTGCCGTGTTGCAATATTTTTTGGGGGAGGGCTTATTTTAGCGCATGCGCTCAAAAGCCCAATTGGGCTTATTATCTGGGGGTGTCTTATTTTCAGGAAACCAGTTGAAGTTACAACAGCTTTGAAACAAGTGACTTATGACCATTTTTCACACTTACGACTGTTGCAGCCTCCACATGGATGCTCACGGGATCAAAATTCGGGGGCTTGGCAACAGGTTCATATTCCTGAGTGTTGCAGTGTCCCAAGGCCATGGGAGTATTTGAAAGTATTTTTTTTTTTTTGAGTATTTGAAAATATATTTATAGGCCGCCCTTTTCCCTGGGGGGACTCAGGGCGGCTTACAACTCAAAGNAAGCTTAGCTCATCCCAAGGAATTCTGTCTGGTGTTTTCCTTTTGATTAGGCAAGGACACATGAGCAGCCCTCCAGTGTGGCAACAACGCCGCAGTCAATGGGGGGAAAAGCCAGATTCATTTAACCACCGTGGTGCTAACCTTAACAACTGCGGTGATTCATTTAGCAACCATGGCAAGAAACAGCCTTTAACAACAGTCTCACCTAGCAACCGTATTGGGGATCGTTAAGTCGAGGACTACCTGCACTTGTTACCAACAGAGGCAGGGAGGGGGAAGTGAAGAAACCAAGCGAGGAAAAAAAAAATCTGCTTTTGAAAGAACTCGAGTCAAAGAGAATTCAGCCACGCTGCTGGAAAAGGCACACACACCTCAACGCTGCATAATGGCAGCAGGATGTGTGTGTGTGTGTGTTTAAGTGGTTGCCATCACAAACCTTGTTTTGCTCTGCATTCCACCTTCCGCATCAGAATATTCTGAGTCACTGCTGCTGATTCTCTTCCAGCTGAAAGCGTGGGAAGATAAACGCTCTTTCGCAAGTGAGGGATATTTATCACTGAATGCCCAATTTGTCATCTTCGAGTCCTGATCTTGCGATAACTCATCCTTTAATGTGGGTTTCTCCACTCTGCCTCCTTCGGCACCTCCTGGCTGCTCTTTTACTCCTTCTTCTTCCGGCTTCCCTTTCTTCGGTTTTCCTTTCGGCTTCTTCCTCCTGTTCTGTGAGAAGCAGTTGTGGGGCGTAGAAATGATTACAAACACAAGCCTTTTCAATTCAAGGGATTGTGTGCAGTTCTCTTTAATCAATCCAAGCATCTAATGGTTTTTTTTTCTTCTAAATATTAATATAGAATAGCCTGGGTAGGATTTTTTCTCTCGGCATCAAGAAATCTATCTCAACTTAAGAGGCCGCGTAAGACTTATTCTCTTGGCTTAAGGTGCTGTTGTGGCCCGCCGGCAGCCAGCAGAGTTGGCAGCAGATTCGGAGAGTGAGGAGGTTGGGGAGGAACATGGGCCAGTCCTGGAGTCTGGGGAAGGCTCTGATGAGGGCTCTGCATCAGAGGCAGAGGTGGGGCCAGGGCCACCTGACAATTATCAGCTGCCTTCAGAGACAGAGATCAGTGAGGCAGAGGAACAGCTGGAGCCTGTTCCCAGTGTGCACATGCGCAGAGTTGCCAGATGAAGGGAACTGCTAAGGAACAAGGGTTGTCTGGGGAGTAAGGCCACAGGTGGAAGGTGAGTGGCCTCTCCCAGAGGAAATAAAAGAGAAGCGAAAGGGGAGGAGGTGTTTGCAAGAGACAATTAGTTCATTCCTGCATTCTTGCCAAGTATTTCAGACACCAAGTATTGGTGTCTGAAAGATATCGGCCTGGCCATTCTCCAAGCCTGATAAAAGTCAGGAATTGTGAATTATCTTGAAAGACTGTGAGAGAGGAAATAGCAATAGCAATAGCAGTTAGACTTATATACCACTTCATAGGGCTTTCAGCCCTCTCTAAGCGGTTTACAGAGTCAGCATATTGC